CCCCCCCCCCCCCAAAAAAAATAAAAGTAAAAATAAAAAAAAATAATATATATATATATATATAAAATAAATAAAAGAAAACTTATACAGACATAACTTCTCCTCTACTCATTATATTTTTGTTAACTCATACTAGTGCACCTTTTTTGTTTCCGGAGGCATTCACTTTTCAGTTGATACTTGTTTCTTCTAACCTTGAAATAAACCTTGCAGAAACTTCAAAAGCAGCACAACTGCATTCCAGATGAACACTATGTGCAGACATTGTTGGCGGTAAGTATCAGGCATATTCTTCCCCGGCTACTTTCAATTTTAGGCTTCTTGTGTGTTCTCAGGACTCTGAACTTACCAGACTTATTTACCTAGGTTATTTTCATCTTTAGTTTTATAGTGTGTCCTCAGGACTCACAATACACAAAGTACTCATGTTTATTGATATATCAAGGATTTTTCTGTGTGAACTGCTTTTGAGAATTATTCTTCGGGACTAAGGTTCTAGATTTTAATTGGTTTACAGATACATGGGTTTGAAGGAGAACTTGAACGTAGAACGATAACCTATACAGAGTGGAATGAATCTGTGACAAATATGGAGAAAAAGGGTTGGCATCCCATAACATTTAGCTATGCAGATGCTGGGCCTGTACAGATCAAGAGAATAAAGGTGTGTATTTGGATGTGTCTAATAATTTGTCATCTCTAGCTTTGGGCATTTGATGCTATGTTCATATCTGGTTACAGTTTCATGTTGGCATAGTTTCAACTAATCTTTCTTTGACTTCGCTTTTTGGTTTTCCTTGTTGACTTCCCCGTTGGTTTTCTTTTGCCGGCTTTGCCTTTTGGTTCTTCATTCCTTTTTTTGGTTTTCTTTCCCTGACTTCCGTAGTTGTTTTCTTTCTTAAAATCTTTTGTTGGTTATTTATTCGACTTCCCTAGTTGTTTGTGTCTTCAACTCTTCTGTTTGGTATATTGCCTACTGAACTGATTGCTTTGTAACTTGCCACCCTTACAATTTTACAGGATATCCGCAATGTTTACTATGAAAGCGAGTACAGGACAGAGTGGTGTCGGAATAATTCTACGCTGGCCCCCTGTTTTCTGATTGCAAGGAAATTCTCACGAGGGGCTGCAATGCGCCTCTTGAGTGAAGGAATAGTTTCTCCATTCGACGCCTCCTCTATAATGAATTTGACACCATGATATTAATCAGTCTCTTATTAGTTTTTATTTGTCATATACTTCGATGAGAGGATAAGTTGCCATTGATAGAATTACAACTTGAGTGTGTCACAACACCTCTAGCTTACTGATTTAGGAAATATACATACGGAAGCTGATCTAAGTATGGTTCATGTAACACAGTACTGTAGATATTTTTAAAAATCACATAACACTGTATGGTTATCTGTCTTGAAATGCTAGGAATTCTATTTTTTTTTTCCTCCTTTTTTCGGTACATAGTGCATTATATTTCGAATTTGGAAAAACAAGGATTGTTGATTTGTGGTGTATGATTTGAGACAGGAAATACCTTTATTTCCAGCTTCCACTATCTTGTGTTCTTTTCCCTTTGTCAATTTTCAACCGAGAGAACTGTTCTCATTGGTTAGATTTTAGTGCTCCAAGCAAGAAGGGACAATCTCATCACTCAGGCCTGATTTAAAATTTAGGCATGATTACTGAAGGCTTTCTATTTTTTGCCAGTACAGGTAGATAACTATATGACTGTTTGCTAAAGCTCTGGTTTGAGAGAAGGGTCTTATTTAATGTTATTACAGTCACGTTTCAACCCCTTTGTGCTGCAGAGCAACGTATATTTTGAAGAGACATATTTCCTGAAGTGAATCCTAACTAATAGACTATAAATCGAACGACATGTTTCAATTTCTTGGCTATCTATAATGATATCAGATTGTTTCTGGCCTTGAGAAAATGACTTGTATTGTTAGCAAGATTAGGGAAATGTCCATACTAGCTGAATACAAATATTTCTATCCAGTTTACTTGTTTCACTAAGAACTTGTCTAGAACACTTTCTAGACTCAAACAAGTTCCTGTTTCCATCCTTGATGGCGCGCTCTGAGCTCCCACATAGAAGTGATTTGTCTCTGTGCTTCTAAAGCAATTTCAGCCTTCTCTCTAGCTTCTTCACAAGTTCCCATACCTGATGTACATTTGTCTGCCTCCTTTTGATATTGGGACACCATCTTTTTTGCCTCAAGCAGTTGCATGTCTGCTCTTCTCTGGTTTTCCACTGTTTCACCTTCCATTTGCTTTAATTCCTCTGTCAAAAGAGCTGTGAAGTTTCTCTCCTCCTCCTCACTCACCCCCAGATCATGTTCCATGCAATCTATGAAACAATAGAGGAAAAAACAGAGACTTAACATTCAAGAAAAGTGGTGATAATAATAACTAGCTTGTAGCAAATAATAGGTACTTGTAATATTTTGTTTGGGAACTCCTTTGTTATTAGGAACAGTGTGCCTTGTAACTACTCTACTGAATATTTTATGCTTATTCTATTTAACCAAAAAAAAAAAGACTAGCAAAAGGGTGAGAAAACTAACCTGTAAAAGTACTCACATTCAAACCTGGTAAGAAAAAAGAGGTGAACCATGTCAAACACTCTATTGAAAACATCTAATATCAAGAGTGTAGCTATGAATTGTTTCATTTGCGTGACATAGAGGTGGATTCAAAATTTAGAGTCAGTGGATTCAAAATACATGTGGTTTACTATAAACATTCCATTTTAGCTAAATCTCAAGATCTAAAATTTAAAGTTAGCAAGTTTAGAATGCACGCATTATGTCATAAGCATACATACTACATATTAGACACATGCATGTGAACTAGTAAACAATTAAGAATTGGAGGGGTATTGTGTTATGTATATACAATACCTTGTGGAAAAGAAGAGTGAATTTGTTGATCATTAGAGCAATCACAAGGACAAGAAGGACAAGAATAATGGGTAGATGAAGAAATAGATTGAGAGAAATGCCAATAGAGGGGTGGACCAACTACATGATAAGCAGTAATGCACAACCCCATAATTAACACCCCAAACATCACCTGCTTTCCACTCCATCTGCTTCTTCCATGTTTATTCATTTTTACTCTCTCTGTGTTTGGATATTTTTTCTCTTTCTTCAACTGTTATGTTTGTCTAATATGTTAAAGAGGTTTTTCAGGATCTTTGTGCTGTGTTTACCATGTTTAATATGTCTTGAGAGGTTTTTCAGGATCTACATAACCAATAATCAGCTCTTTTTTGCTTTAGGTCCCAAAAAATCTAAATTACTTCTTTTTAGATAATAGTACTATATAGTAATACGTAATTCAAATAATTATTATGATATAATTATGTAACATCTTTTTAATCATTTGTTTGTTATCGGTTGTTATTGGAATGCTTACTTTATATTATTTTAGGGATTTTGAAAGGGGTAATCATATGTAGATGAAAGTGGTAGACGTATAATTAACATTGCAATCATTTCCTACTTCCTATTACTCGTATTCACTCGTGATGTACTCCAGGATTGGAATTAAAAGTGCAAGGAAATAAACTCAATTAAATAGAAATACTTCATCGTTTTCCAATTGTCTGTATTGATCATAGAATAATGTTAACTGTAGCCATAATTGGAAGTGGAAACATCAACAATCTCAAAAAAAAAGAAAGTGAATAGACTATAATATCAATTGAATGGAATACCCACGTAGAATCCACACTAGTCCTTTTTTTCTTGGACGATTCACACGAGATGTTTGTGCATTATTAAAAACATCTAGATCAGAGCTAATACTATGCCCAGCAGTAGTAATGAATATAAAACAACAGATGTATAACCAACATAGCCAGTGAGGTTGAAGTCGCGTGGTATAAATAAAGAGGGTTGAACAATATACTTGTCAGTTTTTTTTCATTTAGACGCCGAAACCGAGAGTAGTAAATGTTTGACAATCTGCCACAATGTTTAAACGCATGAACTGAGGTAATGTGTAAATGCTCCAGCTTCCACAATCAGAGCTGCAAGAATTCAAGGTACAATGGTTCTTTCACTAAAATAGGTGCATCAACCTAGTTCGGTTGCTTCTTTGGAAACCCCCTTGCCCCAAACAGTAGATCCAATTCAATCATTTGAACTGCCCATCTCAACCTGTAGCAGTGAAGTATACGATAATCAATATGTTGTACTGAAACATAGCTTAGAACATGAGGTTGGAATGGAGCATATGTATAGCAACAACAATGCTGGCTAATTAGCAGACTGAGAGCAGGTTTTCTTCTCTTCAAGTGTGATTGGTAAGCATATAGCAGGATACAATGGACGAAATGTGCTTACCTAATATAGTAGTGTTAGACCAACTGCTTCTTGATAGAAAATAAGTCTTAGATTCCTTAAGGAGGTCATAGGCGACAAGCATAGAATGACGAGTGACTGCAGGAAGAGTCAGTGGATTGGAGGCAGGAGGAAAGTTGGAATTGAATATCACTGACAACATCTCCCTAGGCAATTCTGACAATGAATTTCACTGACAATAAACAATGGAGCTAATATCAAAAGATAAAGATAAATCAGATTAACACTTGAGGTGAAGAAGATAGTGAAGGGATTATGACTCTTATGCAGACTAGAATAGTACCTTCCCCCTTCACCATCGGTGGATTGGCAGTTAGTAGTTGTAACACTTCCTGGAATCCTTGCTTGCGGTCAGATTAAACTGATATTTCCTTGTTCAATATCTAGTACCATAGTGACATACTGAACAAATTGACATTTACCGTCGAGTATCCCCAATGGAAAAAACACCACGAAGAAGATGTTGTTCATAAGCGCTTATGATATATCCTCTGTGTTAGACATGATTACCCTTTCACTAATCTCCTCACTCAAATTCTTCACAACCAACATTATATCTTCCTGCTGAGGATGAGAGGTTTGGCCCATAAAAAAAGTTGTTATTACTCCATGTAAGTCAATAAAACTCCAACCAGGAAGCTTTTTGAGCCCAAGTTCTCTCATCTGGACCCAGGTCTTACCAACGCCCTCCCACTGGGCCATTGAAGCATAACTATGAGCCAATTGCACATACCTTCCAGCGTCCTCATGATCTAACTCTGAGATTTCTTTGGCAATGACATCCCTAAGTTCTTCCAGGGCTTTTGTTTTGCAAGCATCAAGAATTATACCCAAAGCATTGGCCATTGGTTCTGGAAATTTCATTTTATAGAAGTTGTATGCATCTTTCACCCTACCGGCTCGACAAAGTAGGTCAACTATACATGCACAATGTTCGAGTTCAGGTTCAATCTTAAAATCCCTTGCCATAGTATCAAACAAGTTCAAACCATGGTCCACAAGTCCATTATGACTACATGCATAAAGAACAGATAAGAAAATAATACTGTTTGGTGTAAGACCACTTTGCACAAGCTCCATATACAACGCCAGGGCAGTCTCCCCTTTGCCATGACTGCCATATCCAGAAATAATTGTGCTCCATAAAATGAGATCACGTTCTATGACCCTGTCAAAACACTTCTTCGCACTGTCTAAGTCACCACATTTGCAGTACATATCAACCAAAGCTGTACCTATCTTAACGCAAGGTTCAAGATAGCTCCTTACAACAAGATTGTGGATCCACTTCCCTTGCTGATATGCTCCAATTGAGGCACAAATTTGAAGAAGGCAAACCACTGTTACTGAATCAGGTCTTTGATGGGCTATCCTCATTTCATTAAACAAATGCAAGGCCATTGATAAATGCCCATTCTGGGCATTCCCTGCAACAATTGCATTCCAGGAGACCACATCTCTGTTTTTTATCATATGAAAAACAATAAGAGCTTGCTTCAAATAGCCACATTTTGAATACATAGTGATAAGAGAATTTTGGGCAGGAGTGTCAATGGCCATTCTTTGCCTCAACATATAGCCATGTATAGAAGTTCCTACTTTCAATGAACCTAATTTAGCACAAGCTGCAAGTGCACTTGCTATGGTAGTTGTAGAAGGTTCAATTCTACTACACAACATGCTTTGAAACACTTCAAGTGCTCTATCTGCACGTTCATTCTGAACAAGTCCTGAGATAATAGTTGTCCACAAAACTACATCTTTATCTTTTGCTCGCTCAAAAATCTTAAACGTATAATCCATGTTCCTACATTTTAAATACATAAACATAAGTGATGTCTGAAGATGCACATCTAATTCAAATCCAGCAGCAACTATCTGTCCATGCACCACTTTTCCAAATTCAGCACTACCATCTTTTGCAATTGCGGAAACCAACGCCCCATATGTTTGATGATCAGGCCATGAATTTTCTGACCTCATCCTGTACATAAGCGTCAATAATTCTTCTGTGTTCCCCACTAAAGCACACCCTGAAACCAAAGAATTCCAAGAAACAATATCTTTTTCGTCCATCCACTCAAATAACTTCCTAGCATACTCAATTCTTCCACATTTACCGTACACATTCAACATAGAATTCAACAAAGCAATGTGACCCATAAAACCATATTTTACTATACAAGTATGCAAACACTCCACATGAATGCTCTCTGATACTCCAGAAAGCAGAGTCAACAAGGTAACAGAAGTCGGCTTTATTCCTTCTTGTAGCATAGAATTGTACAGGTAAAAAGCATGCTCAAAATCACCAGTTCGTGTATAACACCCAATAACAGTCGTCCACGGGACAATGTTCCTCTCAGGCATTGTATCAAACACTTTCTGTGCATGCTCTGTAAGCCCAAAAGAGGAATAAAAACTGATTAAGGATGACCCAATATAAGAATCAGAAGAAAATCCATTAACGACCACGTGTTGGTGTAGCAAAAGACCGTGCCGGAGGAGGTTAAGAGAAATGCAGGCTTTGAGGAGAGTAGGGAAAGTGAAAGGGTCAGGAGGTACAGAGGACTTGAGCATGGAGTTGTATGTGAGTAAAGCATGATGGTGGAAACCTTCTGAGGAAAGGCGGTGGAGGGTGGCGTTGAAGGACTTGGTGGCGGCGGCAGCAGCGGCGGAGTGGCGAAATGGCGGCTGTTTTAAAGGGTGGAAGAGGATGTTGAGTTTGAGCTTATGCATAATTCATGGTCACATTCTTCCAGGTTTTTTCTGCGCTGAACTTTTTGTTAAAAATTTATGGAAGGTACACCACAAGGCGCCAATTTTCATATTGGTACTGATCCCTCTCTTAGAAGTTACAATGAGCTATAGTTTATGACTAAATAATACATGAAGCGCCATTAGAGATAAAATATGACTTTACGATTACGTACAGTGACCTTGATAGAAAAAATAAGAGCAACTTTCACATAGCAAACACAAAATTCATATTTGTATGCTATAGCAAAGTTTGCATAATTGCGTTCCATAACAAATATAAATATGTATATTTTGCTATACATATACAAAAGAAAACAATTGTATAATCTGCTTTGGTATACATATACAAAAAGATCAATTGTATAAAGTGAGAGAGGCGAGTGAGCGAGCGACATCTGGGAGAGAGGCGAGCGAGATCTGGGAGAGGGGAACAAAAATATATGTATATATACAATTTTCTCTCGCTTTATACAAACACAAACGCATTTTATACAATTTGCGTTTTTTGTATAGAGTGAGAGAGGCGAGTGAGAGAGCGAGATCTGGGAGACTGGTGAGCGAGATCTGGGAGAGGGGAGAGAGGGGAACGAAAATATATGTATATATACAATTTTCTCTCGCTTTATACAAACACAAACGCACTTTATACACTTGCGTTTGTATAAAAAACGAGAGAGGCGAGGGAGAGAACGAGAGTGGCGAGTGAAATTCATCAGGAGAGAGTGAAATAGCAACAGTTTGCTATGAGGTACAATTAAATCAAACTATATTTATAGCATTTAATTTGAATTAATAGTTTGCTATTATATACAATTTTCCCAAAAAATAATAATTTTATGACTTCACTAATACATAACTAAAATATCTTTGTTTTCTCCTGTTCTATCACGTCAAATTTGCACAAGATATGACTGTTAGCTGCCCTACATAGTTTAGTCGTTTTTTCAACAAGAAGATCAAAGGACCAGCCGACCACGCCATGAGAAAAGTATTCTAGAGATATATCATCAATTAGTACATCTAGACGAGAGTATATCTAATCTCATGACATTATTCAGAACATTTCTATTGCAGCTCAAGACTATGCTCAACAGTAATAATAAATAGAATACAAACGGATGCTATAGGAGACATAGTCAATGAGGACCATAGTCGCATTGTACAAACAAGAAGCTGCGCATATCATGAATGGGAAAAAGTTTGGCTCATGCTCTCTCACTAAAATGGGTTCATCAACCTAGTTCGACTGCTTTGTTGGATATTCCCTTGCACCAAATATAGTAGATCCAACTCGAACATTTGTACTGCCCATCTCAACCTGTAGCAATAGACAGCATTATAAGTATGTTGCGCTCAAACATAGCAGAACATGAGGTCAAACGGAGCATATGTAGAATTCAATACCAATGCTGGCTAGTTAGCATGTGTGTGCTGGTTTCGTTTATTCGATATAGCAGGACACGAGGATAAATATGCTTACCTGATACAATAGCCTAGACTACTCATTAAAAGAAAATATCTTACATAATTAAGGGGGTCATAGGCTACAAGCATAGGTTGATTGGTGACTGCAGCACGAGTCATCAGATTGGAGGTTGGAACGGTATATCACTGATAAGATCTCCCTAAGCAATTATCATGATGAACTTCTAACATATTCAAACACAAAAGAATCAACAACTAATCAAATAAAATTCTACTTTTGTGATACTCAATTTTTCTTCTCTTTTGAGAGCGTCAAATGAATTCTACTTTTTTTTTTTTTTTTTTTGAAACTGGTAACATTCAAATGAATTCTACTTTTAACAACCATCAACTCTACAGATACATAATATCTGCCACAGAAAACAAGTATGCATGGGAAACTGATAGAGAATAGCGCAAATATAAAGGGAAGCCGCATGCACAAAGCAGCTGGCATTCACACAGGGTCCAGGGAAGATCCACACCCCTAGGAGGTATGATATAGACAGCCTACCCTAACATAAGTATCACTAGTTGATTCCAAGGTTCAAACCCGGTCACATGACTTTACCTTATCAAAAGATAAAAACAGATTAACCCTTGAATTGTAACAAACTGTTAAGGGGCGAAACTACAATCCTAGTCTACATAAGTGTCGTAATCCCAAGGATGTGGCCGGGAGCTGGGCAAGTTTATTGTCCAGCAATTAGGCATTATGATCAGACTCAAGACCATTCTAATAACAGAGACCAGTAATGAAAACTGAGTCAGATGTCTAGTTAATAATACTTGGTTTAATTTTTAAAAAGTGATTGTATACGTGGTGCAGTCAGACTACCACATACTCCCGAGAGAACTCATGTTATTCAAGTTCCTTCCAAGCTTACTAATGGTTTAATGTGCTTAGTGACAAGTCAGGTCACTCACAGCAAGTTCAAAGTCGCCTGACATTCCCATTGACAGATCACATTGATCTTCAGATATTCCAAGTGCCTCGCAAACCTCACTTCTACATCTTGCTAAAGTCTGAAACCAAGCATGACAAATAGCAGGATACTTGAGTTGAGGATATAACAATAGCAACCAGGCCAAGAAGAAACAGCAAAGATAAAACCAAAACCTTAAAGTTCTCAGGAGTCGACGTATAATCTGGCATTCCAATAGTCATCAGGCCACAGAATTCAAGATTAGGGCAGTTTGAAGTAACATGTTTCACGAGTTCCAGACACCCATCTGGTTCAACACCAGATTTAGCTGCAATTATGGAATCAAATCATGGTTAATTTTTCCTTCATGAATATGGCAACGTTCACAAAAATAGACCAAATGACTCTTAATAAATCAGAGACATACTCCAGTTACCCACATTCTTCCCCACTTGTATTAACTTGGATAAAAACTTTCAATGGCTTTCTTCCAATGTTCCCAGCCACACGGTCAAGCTGATTTGCAATCTACAGAATGTATTAAACAAAATATAAGAATCTTTGCAAGATGGACAGGGTTTTTGCTAATTCTTTGAACTGTAAATATGGTGTCCAAAATTTCCTTAATGCTGATGAATATACAGTAACCATTCGCAAAAAGAAAACAAATACTCTATAAACTATGTCTGTAAAAGGAAGTCTATACTCACAATATTGGATATTCTACTATAAATATTCTTGTTAGTTGTTAGTGCTTCAACTCATATTCCCCCAAATGTCGATCCCACTCCAATAGCTCCGAATAAATTAAATATGTGCATAAAATACAAAGGCTTCTTATTAAATTCACTTAATAACCCATTTTTTTCTTTTTCTAACTAAACCGGATTTATTTCCTTCTTGCACTCTTCACTTTCGGTACACGATGTGGATGTAGGTGTGAGATCTGTACCAGATATGGTCAAACGATTTTAGATACTTTGACCAAAATCGATCAAGAAATTCGAGATGGATACAATGATTTTTGAAATCAAAACAAAAGTTAGAGTGTAATCATAATTTGGGCATATGTATTTTGTATAGTCAAAATATATTTGTATTAAAAAGTCAACAACCAGAATATGTTCTAAAGATATTTACTGGACTACGAAACTAGTAGCAGAGTCGGTGTTGGTTACCTTTTCATCATCTACAGTCTCCACCATAGCAAGATTTGGCACTCCAGCTGAAAAACAAAGATGAGGAAAAATAAGCTCTATACATTTATATCAGTTGCACAAAAACGTGGCTCAAACTCTTCATTACAGTTATGTCATGCATGCTAACTCAGAAAGGAGATAGAAACTTGTTGTCCATCGTCTGACTGATGTAAGTGAAGGCAGTCTGTTTCACCACATCTGGCATTTTTAAAAATATTTGTGGTATTTAATATAATCAAAATTTGATGAAGCAAGTATGTTATTTCACCAAGATAAAGTTTACAACTCTTGAAACAACCCTTCCCTCCACGGGCTTCACCAGGACGCCAGAAAAAAGGTCTTCTCCCCTTGTTTCTCCAACAAAATTATCCTGTAATCACGATTTTTATGATTTTGCTTCATCCTGAAACTATTTTCATAGAAATGTACATTTCCCCTTACTGGTCCATAAGGAAAAGGATGGGAAAGGAACAGTGAAGGAAGGAAGGAGAACATACTTAAAAGTGGCTTGACTTTATTGCTCTGCAAATTCCCTATGAAATGCCACTCTATATCATCTGGAAGCTGCAATTTACCAAACAATAGCAGTATAAACACCTCATCTGAAACACAATACGTCACATTGTTCCCCACAGAAAATTACAACGGCCCACATAAAAAATAAAACTTACCATGAAGAAATTACTCTCTCTCTCTCTCTCTCTCTCTCTCTCACACACACACACACACACACTAACTAGCACAAAACAAACAAAATAATCAAAAAATAGATACATGACATGGCTAATTCCCAGAAGAATGAACTAGTGCAAGACACCAATTGAATGTAACTATGATGTCCGTGAAAGGTCAAGAATTGGCAAACTTTGAAGCTAGGGAACTTCTGAAGTAGAAGACACCTCAGGTGATTCACACCGTGGAAAGGACAGGAAAGTCCTGCGCTATATATGACAAAGTATAAGGTAACTTGGTAGCACACTTAAGGCATCTTTGCGACTTACTCGAGGGACAAATCAGTAAGGTCCATTGGACAAAGCGGCAATACTGTGCATAAGCAGGTTGGGCTATAACAATAATTCTAAAAGCAAACAATCTCACTCTTGGCAATATTCAAAAAGAAAATCAATTAAGCTACTGGTGAAAAGCTTCATTTTCCTATAAATATAGCGTATCCCAAATAACAAAAACATAAAAACACATGAAGGGCATTTATTTAAAAGATCTAAAATCTCTTAATTTTAATCCATACTTAGCTAAAAACAAAACACAAAGGAAGCAGAACATTCCTATACTAGATACCAGTTAATTGAAATTAACCTACAAGATAGGATTAGATTACAGAAGCCCAAAAATTTGCCTACAGTATTAGTATTGGACTGAACTTAACCTTAATAAAGTGAGTCCTAGAGTCAAATAAAACAAAACAATTCGATCAGCAAACCAATCAATTATATATTTTCTATGCTTAAATTATGTAGCGGCAATCACAAACACGAGTATAGAACCTTTACCTGAGGAGCTTTCTCGATGAGCTCTTTGACGTAATTTTCACCGAAGCAA